TGTAAGTAGGTGCTTTAGACCACTGAGCCATCTCACCAGCCCCTAAAGTGGTTTTTGACAAGCATGGTGGTACACATCTATAATCGCAGCACTTAGGAAGCTGAGGCAGGAGAATTGCAAGTTTGTAGCCTGAGCTACATAGTGAGTTCAAGGGTACTCCAGACTACACCGCAAGACCCTGTCTCAAAAAAACTAAAAAGAGAGCCAGGGAGATAGCTCAGTGGCATAAGTGCCTGCCTCATACTGGGGGAAAAAACTAAAAAGAAAAAAAAAGTTTTTTAATGTCCCAAAATAGTAATGAAATTCTATAAAATGGTTCTTGAATACCAGTAGGTATCTAATTAATATTTATTGAACCACTGTGGCGTGAGTATGCCCCTCATATCTGCATCTCTGTCACTTGGTGCAGCCGGCACAGAGGAAGTGGGCAGCATACGTTTAGTAAAGGACAGAGGAAGGAGGGAGGGAAGAAAGAGGCTGCATTAGAAATGTGTCTTTGTACGTGCAGGGAAAAGATACTTCCTTAGCGATGGCAGAGGGATCGAGGTGGCAGGGAAAGGGCTCAGCCAGGGGCAGGAGCCAGAGGGGCTGCAGCAGAAGCCTGGGCTGGGAGCACTTAGGTAGGGGCAGGGAGCTGCGCACCTGAGGGTAGAGCTGGGAGACAAGCTCAGAGGTGTCCTACCCACCAAGTGAAAGGCTCCTATGGAGTCTCTGCAATCTCAGGTCCTGACCCTGTGCAACCTCGTGCCACTTCCAGCCCGAGGCTGCTGCTCTCTGTTGCTGGAATTGTTTTGTGAGCCAGCCATAAGCAGGTATCCCCTGTCTGCTCTGCTCTCTGCCCACACAGGTGGCCAGGCACACAGTGCCCCCTGGATCCCCACACGTCTGTCCCAGACCCTAGGCCTCAGCTCCATTCTTGGCCCGTGCTGCCTTGGGACTTCTAGGCTGAGACACATATTTCAGCACTTTCTTACATCTAATCAAGGCATATTCAGGGAACAAATGTGTGTTGATTGAGTGGATACTGAATGCCAGGCCCTGTGCTGCCCTCATGGACTTGGTAGGGGGAGACAGACTGTGGGCAGGTTATTGGGAAAGTGCTGCGAAATGACATTTATGGCACTGTAGATGGAGACTAACTGGTGTCAGGGGAGGCCGTCTGTGGTAGTGACAATTAAGCTCAGATGTGAAGGATGAGACGGAGGCAGCCGTTCAGAGGCCATGAGGAGCACATCCAAGTAGAAGCAACAGTATTACATGAAGACACAGGTCCGGAAGGCACTTAGGGTGCCCCAGAAGTCAGAAAAAAACCCAGGGACAGGAGCCTGTTGAGCTGGAAGAGCAGTCTGAAGCTGGGCCTGGTCCCAGGCCACACTTCCTAAGTGCAGTAGGGAGGCTCCGGAGGGGTGAGCAAGTGGCTGCTGTGGAGGAGGCGCAGTTGGAGGAGAGAAGGAGCAGATAGGAAGCTAGGGGAGACCTGGTGGCCAGGGCTGCCCAGTCATACCCTGTACTGCCAGCGTGGCCAACTAAGGGAGCAGACATTGCAGACTTGTATGGATGGGTCAACTAAGTGTGCCTGCACCAGTCCTGTTCCCAGTATGAGGTCATATTCTGAGGTCCCAGGATTGACTTCAGCACATCTTTTGGGGGGAACACAGCCTGTGACAATTGCCTAAGACAAGGATGGAAAGAGAGACAAGCAGAAGGTCAGGACTTTGGCAATGTGTGGCATTGGATGGCGAAGGCCAAGCCAGGAAAGGGAGTGACAGCCAGATCAGAGAGGCTGAAGGATGCACGGTTTTGCCTGGAAAGCCAAGACCAAGCATGGCAGAACAGGAGGTGTGGCCGGCGTGGGGGACGAGGAAGAATGGGCAGCCTGGGGCAGCAGAGATAAGGGAGTAGATGGGGCTTGGGTTTTGTTTTTATTTGTTCTTGTATTCTGCTTTGTTTTCTAAAGTGGGAGCTACAAGAACCTGCTGTGTGCTTGTGTTAGTTACTTTTCTCAAGTCTAGTTATTTGTTTTATTCACATTTTGTGTTTAATTTTCGTTATTCCATGCTTTAGTGTCACTTTGCCAGCTTGGGAAGCCCTTTGTGGATAGGATTGTACTTCTGTTTCAGAGCAAGAAAAATCCTCTGTTATGTACACATTCGTGGCACCATGAATTTCATTTTATTAGTGAACTAAGCAGTTTCATGTGTAATGTCTGTCACTGGAAGCTGTATCTGATGTTCCTTGACAAAAAATATCACTAAAGTACATATTTGAGTTTAAATTTTTAGGTTCCATTGCGCATGGCACAGGAGGACCAAAACTGGAAAACGAGGTGTCCACAGGTTAAAAGCTACCTACTTGGGATTTGTGAGATCCAGTTGGTTAGGTGGATAGGAAACCACATCCCAGGGAACCACAGCTGCCCCTTCTTAAGGGTGGCCTGGAGACTAGAGTGTCACACATCCCAACTTCAGAACTGCATCGCAGCCTCCAGAGGCAGCCAGGCCCAGCAGCCCTCACCGGGCTGACTCCACACTCGCTCTAGCAGGAGAGGGCAGTTGGAAAACAGGTTCTGTGACACCATCCTACCCTCCATAATGTCGTTCGTGTCCTAAGGGATGTGGATATTTCAGTGGAGTCCATCCCTAGAGACTGCTAGAACCAGTCTGATGCTAATCTCATTGCTTACATGCTAAGATAAGAAAATCTGGGAGCCCTGCATGGCACCCTTGAGGGCACAGGCGACCCAGGCAGATGATGAGATAGAAGCCTCAGGACCCAGAGGGTGCAGCAGGAAAGCCAGAGGTGCAAGCAGCCTCCAGGGCCACAGGCACCTGCACTGAAGGAGACAAGGCCCAGAGAGGGTGTGGCCTAGGAGAGCTCTGACAGTGGTCCTGGCAGAAGGGCAGGGATGATGCGAGACCCTAGGAAGAATGCTGAGGCGCCACGCTCCCTGCGGCCAGCAACAGCTCGCTTCTGTGTTAAGCAGCATCCCATCACTGTAGTGAAATACATGAAGTCAGGTATTTTATTTTTAAGCTGCTGACTGAGAAAGTTATTTTGGCTGACAGTTTTTGGAAGATCTACTCCCTGATCCATTTGCCCCATTATTTTGGACCCATAGTAAGAAGCATAGCATGGTAGGAACCCAAGCTCAGAAAAACCCTTTCCGTCATGAGCCAGGGAGCAAAAGAGAAAGAGGCAAGGGCTGGGCACCCTCAGTCACCTGCAAGGGTGCAGGGCACAATGCCAGCAAGCCCCCACCTCCTTCTAGCACTTCTGGGGACCAGGCCTTCATCATGTGTACCTTGGGGGACTTTCAGCATCCAGAGCACAGTGCTGCCCTGATGCCCTAGCAGCCACTGTGGCCCCCACAAGTACTGTGCCAGCTCTGTTGTCCATCTGAAAAATCAAAACTTGGGAATAAAACATTTGGTAGGGGGATTATTTATGTGGTTTTTTCCTTTAATGTTGTTTTTTATTTTTTTATGTATTTAGTACAGGGTCTCACTACACAGATCAGACTCATAGTGATCCTTCCTGCTTTTCAGCCTCCCAAGTGCTGGGATTATAGGTGCGCAGCACCACGCGCAGTCAGTCTCAGCGTGCCCTGGGGATGGGGCCAGCACGACAGGCCAGGGATCAAATCCCTGGCCCCCTGTGTCTGCCTAAGCAGGTACTTTAATCCACTGAGCTATCTGGCCGGCCCTCCTTTAATGTTATTTATACATATATATTTTTTAAAAATGACATTGAGAGCAGACTTAAAGCAGTGAGGTAGAGGCTGCTTTTGAGCAGAAAGAATTTGGTTGGAAGATCCAGGCCATTCTAACATGGCCCTGCCTCTCCTCGAGCCAGCTGGGTGCAAGACTACCTCGTTGGAGAAGGCCTCCCGGAACAGCATTGTCATACAGAGCAGGAAACAGAACAGAGAAAGTGAAAGTCAGGTTAATGCAGGTCATTGTTAGCACAGTGCCTCAAGCCACTGTTTAAAAAATATGTATATGTTGTTCACATCTCAAACTTTGGGGGTGGTTTTCTCCCAAATGTATACACACTTAGTCATACAAGTACTTAGAAAAGTGGGTGGGCTCTGTGGTCACCAATTTTGATTACCAACTGCATGTGTAGTTTTCTCTTTGAGTGCAGGTGGTTTCCTTTGGAATGTTCAGCATGCTACCTTGTCTGTCGTGTGAAGGGACATTGCTCCTGTGGTCAGGTTGGGAATGTTTGTAGAGTTTGTAATGGGATTCTAGTTGATTCCCAGAGGATTTATTCATAAATAGGATTCTCATTATAACATTAGCGGACCTTTGTAGAGACTTTCTTTTTTTCTGGTGGTACCAGAGATCAAACTCGGGATGTTGCTCTTGCCAGGCAAACACTTATTCCACTAAGCCATCTCCCCAGCCCTGAGATTTTTTGAGGCTAACAAAAATGGTGTTTCCTTGGGAAAGTGTGATAGAAATTCTTAAGAAAAGGATCATTAAAAAAAAGAAAAAAGGATCATTGGCATAGATGAAAATTGGGTTTAATCCCATTATTTTGACTGAGGGCAGCTTGTTTTACATGTTTCTGAAAGTAGAATATTTATGTTTCCAAATTCCTTTGTAAAAACCAGGCATTCTCTGAGGATTCCAGATCTTGCATTAGAAAAGCTACTTTCCACCACTGCTGAAGTGGCTAGAGGGTAACGGTGATGGAGTCTAGATGTGGCTCACTGTAGGTCTGTTCCACAGCCACCCACCTGCCTGGCATCCTGCCACAGGCTAACCACACAGCCTCCTCTCATGGAGGACCAAGCTAGAGTCATTCCCTGAGAGCCACAGCCCTCCCCCCGGGTCCAGAGCTCTACCACATGGTCTCTGGGGGGACATGGAACATCCAATCCACTGCATTTCGAGGGCAGAGGCGTAGCAGTACCCAGGTTGGAAAGACAAAACTGTGCAAAACCAGTGGCCTGCATTGTCACCCTGCTAATGGTCCCTTCCGCTCTTCTTCTCCAGGGCCCCCGAGATCATCCTGGGTTTACCATTCTGTGAGGCAATTGACATGTGGTCCCTGGGCTGCGTCATTGCAGAGCTGTTCCTGGGCTGGCCGCTGTATCCAGGCGCTTCAGAGTACGATCAGGTGGGCCTAGCTGATGCGGGGATTTGCGGCAAGACTTGTTCTGCCTGGAAAATACCCTGGATGAGCCTTTCGTTTAGAACCTGGACTGTGCATGCTATTGCTGCCTGTCATTGTTCCCTGAACCTTGTGTTACTTTCCTTTTTTATTTTCTTTTTACTTCTTTCTTCCCCATAAAGCTGTTCCCATTTTTCTCAAAGCCACTAGAGTTGTGAGAATGCCATATGCACAATGACAGGAAAAGCCCTGACCTCCTTCTTGTCTCTTCTTGCAGATCCGGTATATTTCACAAACACAGGGATTGCCAGCTGAATATTTATTAAGTGCAGGGACAAAGACAACCAGGTTTTTCAACCGTGACACAGACTCGCCATATCCTTTGTGGAGGCTGAAGGTAGGCGGGCGCCCTCCCTTCCTGCCTTGCCAGCAGCCCAGCACTCGGGCAAGAGGGGCATGGCCCATCAGTGGAGTGTTCACCTTCAGCAGGCTGATCCTGGACCTCACTTTGATTGGGTCAACAAAAAGGGGTGTTGGCTGAATTGGAACGTTCAGACACCTGTGCTCTTGGCCCTCGGTTACCAGAGAAGCTCGAGTCCCATTCGCACTGCCGAAGTCCCTGTGTTGAAGCCCATGAGCCTGGATGGCTGATCTGTGTGAGGGAGGAAGTGACATAGCTTGCCCTTGAGGCGCTCACAGGCCAGGCATAGATAGGACCGGGACCCTGGCCCACCCTCTGCAGTGCCCTCTTCCCAGGAGGAAAGGATGTGGACACCAGTCGCAGAGTTCACTCACCTCTACCTGTGTGCAGACCAGGGAGGAGTGTCGTGCTGATGCAGGAGCAGAGGGGAGGAGAGTGAAGCAGGCTCCCCAGGACAAAAGCGAGGGTGTGTTCTCCAGTCCCGAAACAACCTGGGCATCTCAGCATCACAGACCTGGCAAAGCAGCTACGAGGAGTCAGGACTTGACCACATCTTGGTGGGGAGAGGTATCCCCTGCAGCCCACCGAATACCCTCCCGTGGTTGTATCTCAGTGGAAACAGTTTGCTTTCACTTTGATCTGTGCCTAGTAATTAAAATTGATTATATTTCTAAGAAGGAAAAACTAATGAAAATCTTAAGTGTGTTTTTATTTATCTGTTTCTTTTGTAGGAGGGTGGGTGGGTGTTTTCTTGACAGAAACCTCAGCCAAAATTTATTGTCTAAGTTTAAAGACAGCTGTGTGGCCAACGGTTCTAACAGACTGAGAAAAGAGGTTTGGGAGCTCAGCAGGCATCTTAGGCCACTGATGGGAGACCTGGTGTTTGGTACCTGCCAGGGTGACACCAAGGTCTGTTGTCGGCATCCTTGAGTGGGGAGGGGAGGCCAGGCAGCAGCGAGGCTCACTCCTGCATTTTCCCCGACCACCTCGAGCCGTGCGTCCAGTGTCCCCAGGCGTTAAGCTGCTCAGGTGTGCTGCCCTTGAGTGAGAGTTGGAGGTTTAATTACCTGTGATCCATGGACAAATCTAGAGGCCTGCTGGAATTGGAAATGGCAGTTGTGCAGTCAGTGAGGACAATGGATGTCTGCCAGCCCAGGTAGAGGGGCAGTGGAAAGCACAGGCACCAGAGCTAGATTGAGGCCACTTGTCACCCAAGTGACCTTGATGAGTTTCCTAAGGGCTCTGTTTTCCCACCTAGGAAATGGCTATAACAGTCATCCTCCTAAATGGGATCATGAAGAGGTATTAATGAGTTAGTGTGCTTTGAAATGGTGTTGTACACACACGTGCAGAGCTGTTTAGCTGAATTTTTTTTTAATGTATTTAGGACAGGGTCTGCAGTGTCTCACTATGTAGATTGGACCTATAGTGATTCTCCTGTTTTTAGCCTCCCAAGAGCTGGGATTACAGGTGCGTACTACCACATCCAGTCTCAGCCACCATCTCAACATGCCCCTGAGGTGGGGCTGGCACGGCACGCTAGGGATCGAACCCCAGCCACTGCGCTCTGCCTAAGCAGGCACTTTAGTCCACTGAGCTATCTGGCCAGCAGTTGAATTATTTTTTAGGGGAGATTTATATTTTGGTTTTGACACTGAGGACTGAACCCAGGGTGTCCAGCTGCTAGGTAAGCATTCTACTGCTAAGCCAAATCCCCAGCCCCCACAAAACTGTTTAGAAGGGCTCCCTGAATAAAACTTTGAAACTAACACTTTTTCCATAATGGACTCTGAACCTACATTTAGGGAAGGCTTCAGAGTGACCAGGGATGTGGATGTGGCATCCTGTACTCATCTTAAAATCTTCTGATAGTGAGGCCATTCAGTGTAGGCCATGAACGTAGGTACCCACAGGAGAAAGCAGGATGAGTCAGGGTAGAAGACTAGAGGAATTGTGTGCCAGTTACTTTAAGAATCAAAGTCTACAAGGTGAGAAAGAACCTTGATGAGGTCTCTTGGGTTGGCGCCAGTGACCCAGAGCTAAATCATGTTACCAATTGGCTTTTGCCTCTCTTGGTAGACACCAGATGACCATGAAGCAGAGACGGGGATTAAGTCAAAAGAAGCAAGGAAGTACATTTTCAACTGCTTAGATGATATGGCCCAGGTAAGCGCCACGGGTGAGCATGCAGCGTAAGCCCTTGCAAGCCAAGTGTTGCAAGGCTGCAAGCGTGACGAAGGGGCGCAGGTAGCAGTCCCGCTGCCCAGCTGTGACTGTCAGCTTGGAACCTGCATACTTCTGTGCTGCCTCAGTAAGAATGAACTGTGGGACATCGTGAAAACCTTACACTAGCACCTTAAAAATAGCCTTGTTTTACTAGTTTCCATTTGTGAAGTAGTTCTGGTCAGTTTTGCCAATTCTTTGGTGTGGGATTCTAGCCAATTCATATATTTGAGTTTAATGCTGTATTCATTTCCTAAGGCTGTAGCAGGGTACAGCAAACTGGGTGGCTTAAGCCAATAGAATTAATTCTGGATGTTGCACGTGTACGGGAAGTCACCTGCAGGCCCCGGACTGTCCCACCTCTGCCCCCTTCTGGTGACCCTTGGCTTCCTCCGTGTTGCTCCTCCACAAGGCCTTACTCTGCCTCCGTGTTCAGATCTCCTCTCTTAAAAAGCTGCTAATCATTGGGTCCGAGGCCCTCCCTAATCCCATGCAACGTCAATTTATTATATCTACAAAGATCAGATTTCCAAGTAGGTCACGTTCACAGTAACCAGGAATCAGGACTTAACCACATCCTGCTGGGGAGAGGCTTCAAACCACCACAGTCAGTCTTTCTTACTCGCTAGTAGGAACTCAGACTCTCACTTTTGTGCCCTAGAGAAAATTCTAGAACTTCAGCTACTTTCAGTATAAAGAGTAATCTAAAATCAGGGCAACCCAAAGTGCGTTTTTCTTTAAAGCACCGAGAAATAAAGCTGTAGCCTAATAAACACTTAGCACACCTCTTACTGGAGATGAGTGTAACCAAAAACCCTGATTCCAAGTAAAGCACACTTGTCAGTTGATTAGTAGCTTAGACTGTCTGGGAAAACTGAGATTGCTTTCCAGGACGTGTCTTGGAAAAAAGGTACAAAACACCACAAAACAAGCCTTTTAAAGGCCATCATTGTATAGCCTTGCTCTTAAAAATCCCATGTTCGGATACCCTGCCTGCCTGGGCCAGAGGTGACCACAGTATACACAGGACTGCAGTAATTCTGGCCTCGCTCCAGGAACCAGGAGCAGGGTGACCAGCTGTGGATAGAGGGGCCCCTCTGTGTCCCTCAGAGGTTATGCAAACCTCCTGTGCATCTGTTCTCTACTGCCTCATTGTGATTTTTTGTTTAATTGTAGTAAAACACATCGCATAAGATTTACCGTCCTCGCCTTTTTAACATGTACAGTAGAATTAAGTACGTGCTTATTGTCATGCCTCCACAGCACTTTTCATCTTGGAGATTTTTTTAAAGAGGTGTGAGGGGAGTGCATGCCTGCTTGGCTGATGGTGGCACAAGCAGTTTATAGCCTGTGCCACCGCAGCAGCCCTCTCCCCTGCCCCTGCTCCAAGTGCCCTCCTCCTCTACCCATCTTGTAGGCAGCAGCAGCACGTGGGTGATACCTCTGCAGGGGCAGAACACAGCCTCCCACGACATGAAGGGGGCTTCAGATATGAGAAGATGCAGGGCTGAGGATAAGGCAGCTAGGAGAGGTAAGGTGGCTAGAGCCCTTGTCACCTGTCCTGCTTACTTCCAGGTGAACATGACAGCAGATTTGGAAGGGAGTGACATGCTGGTGGAGAAGGCAGACCGGCGGGAGTTCATCGACCTGTTGAAGAAGATGCTGACCATAGATGCTGATAAGAGAATCACTCCGATCGAAACCCTGAACCACCCCTTTGTCACCATGACACACTTGCTCGATTTTCCACACAGTACACAGTAGGTGTTCTGCTCAACCCTTTATGCCAGGGGCTAGACTTTTTCGTTAAAAGCCTAGAGAGTATACATATTAGTCTTTTTGGCCACCTGATTTCTGTTGCAACTACCTAGTACTATAGATAACAGAAAACAACCAGTCTGAAGCTGCATTCCAATAAAACATTCATAAAAGCACACAGGAGCTGGGTTGAGGTTCTGGGCTCCAGTTTGCTCTATACCGAAAGGATGAGAAGAGGAACATGGGAGAACCTGGGGCTTGATGGACTACACTCTGGTTTCTGTCCATGAAGCAGGGAACCCCCAGTTGCCACAAACAAGAGTGTCCTAGAACAAAACTAGTTTCAGCACCAAAGGTTACTGTCACTTAGCGGGGCAGGAAGGCCCTAAGGAACTGGACTGTGAAGGCTGAGAAGAGGTTGGGTATGAGAGGGCAGGGTCTGTGTGTATGCCCAGCACGGGCAGGACCACGTACCATGCTTGAGGGGTGGCTGGGGAGACTGCGGCCACAGGAGTGAGCCAGAGCCAGGCCCTGCATCGGGAGGATATAGGTCATATCCAGAGAGCGGTGGGGAATCGCTAAGGGCCAGCTAGGAGGGGAACGGCTGGCCAGCTGTGCTGTCCGCAGCGGCTGCCGCAAAAGTGCTCCCGAAACACATTCGCCAGATCTCGCAGCTCGAGTTTGGTGGTGATTTAGTGACAGGTGCTGCAGCACAGGGGCAGAAGCAGAAACCCACTTAGCAAGTGGAAAGATCAAGAGAGGCACTTAGAGCAGTGAGGTTGTGAAAGGAAAGGAAGAAATAGAGGAGTGACTGGGGGATGGATAGCCGAAGGCTATTTTTTCCATTTTAATTTTTAAAATCCTTTTTTAAATTTATTTAGTACAGGGTCTCTCTATACAGGTCAGACTCATAGTGATTCTCCTGTCTCAGCCTCCTTAGTGCTGGGATTACAGGCGTGCGCCGCCCCACCTGGTTTCAATGGCCAGCATGACCCACCTGGTGTTCCCCAGGGGCGGCACCGCGTGCAGATTAAAACCGAGTCCTTGCACTTGCCAGGAAGATGCTTAGACTGCTGAGCTATCTCCCTAGTCCCTTTTTTAAAAATATATTTTATTGATATATGTAGTGATAACATTCATCATAGAAAATTTGCACCTGTACATGGTATATCTTGCTTCTTTCTTTTCTTTTTTTTTTTTTT